GCCATTTCCTCAGCCGTATTTGAAAGGGGGAAGCGGGGAGAAAAGACCTCCCTCAGCCACTCGCTCGCTCCGCAGCGGCCGCGCCCAGCTCTCGCGAGAACTGAAACATCGCGGGAACGGCAGAGGAGCCCGTCTGCCTGGGCCCGAGGAAGGCCGGCCCCGTTACTATGGCGACAAGGACTCTTTCACCCACCTCTTTCCCCTCCCACCTCGAGGATGCGAGCGGGCCGCGCGCCTTGCGGCGTCGGTTGCATCAGCTGTTCGGTCACCGCCTCGTCGCCATCCCCACAACAGCCCTGTGAAGCAGGGAGGGGATTATTATGTCCCCCACTGAGGCTTCCTGAGGGTTATCTTATTTATCAAATGTATATGTCTGCCCATCTCACACAAGGTGACTCTGGGTGGGCTATTATTTCCTTGGCTTCCTCCTCCCAGAGTCTTTTTTAATATGTATAAATGTGTGTGTGTGTATACCCACACACACACCCAGCCAGTTAAGAGATGATTAGGGCGTGGATCACACCTTCCCAGTCCAGGCCAACTGAGCGCAATCCTCTGCAAATTATTCTCTCGTATGTAGAGATTTCAGCTTTTTTTCCTTAAAGGTCCCCCATAGCCCAGAAATAACAATGATGAATAAAATGATGGGAGGCGGGATCATCACTCGATCTCAGTGTTTTTCAGCTTTGGCCATATCCTAAGATATGTGGACTTCAACTCCCAGAATTCCCCAGTGTGGACTTCAACTCCCAGAATTCCCCAGACAGCTTAAAAGGTCCACACATCTTAAGATTCGCCAAGGTTGAAAAACAGTGCTCTATCTGAATTGCTTTATCTGGCTCTCTTATAATGGATGCACAGAGCGAATGATGCAGAAGAATTCTTCCATCCGATCCATCAGAAAAAACGGGCAAGTTCTCTGACCCTATTCGGATATATTACCTTTCTCCCCTGTGATATGTACTTCAGATATTTTGGGCTTCAGCTCCCAAAATTCCCAGATAAAATATCAGTGCAATCTAGCAATTCTAGAAGCAATATCCGCAATATTTGGAAGGCACCAGCTTGGTACATACTTTGCCCCTCTTGGAAATACTCTTATGGATCTCATGAGTATAGGGTTGGCACTACTCCTCGACATTTGCCAATGCCAGTACTACAACTATGGCAACACTACTTATAATCTGGAGCGACCATAACTTTAAATTGGTAGTGTTATTTTTACTGTGGCTGCAAATATAGAGTGGTGTATTTCATTGTTCTTACATAATTTTAATGGTTGTTTATTTATTTATTAATTTTTAATTGTGGTTGGACCACACTTAGGTCAGGGATGCATTATTAAAAAAAAAAGTTGTTTGTACATAGTGGATCATTCATACACTGTGAATCATTTGTGACAGTTGCATTTCAATATGCCAAGATGGAGAACTGTGTTCTTTCTGAAAACTCTCCCTTTATAGCATTGTCTATATAGAAGAAATGATTGTTTGAGTCAGAATTTTTCCTCCTTTTATTGATGAGTTATTTTTTAAGAATCAGAGAGCATTACAAATGTTCATCATCAAGCAGGAACCACACTATTTGCCAGCTTTCTTAATTTCAGAAAGATCTGTGTCATTTTATAAAAAAGAAAAATTGAGATTTTTATTGTTCAGAAAATCCTAATACATCAGCAAATGGGTAAATTTGCTGGCTTATTTATTGGCAGACCCTTTCCAAAATCAGCACCAAAGCTGTCTAACAAACCCTGAACTGAAATTGCTGCAGATTGCTTCAAGCTATTTCCTATTATTTCAGCACTTTTTTAGTGTATCCTTTTCCAGAAACAAAATAGAAATCATAAAACATTGTGAATTGCATTCTCTATTTATTTACTTACTTACTTACTTATTTATTTTTTTATTTATTTAAATTGTGTTTATTAAAAATTTTAAACTGCCCAATAGCCAAAACTCTCTGGGTGGTTTACAATAAACCAGACTAATTTGAATAAAAACATATACAATAAAATTGAAAAAAAAAGCAATATAAAACACACCATACAAAACTAGGCAGCAGCAAGGAGGCCATTCAAAATCAAAAACAATATAAATTAAAATATAATTAAAGCCCAATTCAAAAGCCTGGGAAGTAAAATTTTATGAAAAGCATAAGTATTCATGATTAATTAATAACATTTGTTAGTTGGAAAAGGTGCTACCATCAACTAACATGGCTTTCCTCCAACAATTTTTCCTGACAGTACGGTGCGCAACTTCTGAAGAAGCAAACTGAAGCAGTCAGTCAGTTAAGAACTTCAAAAAATTTACTTGATCCAAAAGCAGAAACAAATGAAAAAAACAGTTCCAGAGTCTTCTGATAAGGTACATCAGAACAGATCCAAATAGGGTTGACTGCATAATGTGGAAGTAGCCTATAAGCAGACAATACACAATACAGTACACCGTGTTAACAACCTACAGTAGGTCTTTTTATATATTCAAAAAACCCCGAATACAAACATTCTTAACTCCTCTCAGTTGCTCATTCAGGCGATAGAAGATTTTATATAATTGCATACACATATATTTCATATTTAGTATTGAAACATTTAGGCTTTCGTTGAGGATTTTTGAATCCTGTTTCCTTCTTCAAGTTTGTAAGCTCGGAGGCCTTTTTCACTAACCTTGATAGATAAGAAGCTGTGCTCGTAGAGAGAAGATAAGGTGTACATTCCAAGGATAGTTTTTCCTAGGGAAAAGGTGTTTAGTTAACTGTCAAAGGGCCTGGGAAGGAAGGAAGGAAGGAACTTCCTAATATGGAATGATATTGAGGTGGGAAATGGGTGACTGAGTAAGGGGTGGTATTCTAAAGGAGGAGCTGAATGAAATGTATATATTGTGCCAAAAGGAGGGGGTCAAGTGCAGCCACCCACCTAACAGCTCGCTGTTGCTCTTGGGTGAAGAATAAAGAATAATTTCACGCAACTGCCCGTGGTCTCTTTGATCCCGGCTCAGAAACAAACTGGTAAGATATAATTCTAACACAGGTAACTGAAGCAGCAGAGGGTCAGCAAACATTTCAGGACTCCCCAAAGTCCTCATTTCATTTCGATATTTAGTTACAAATACAAACTTAGAGAAGGAAATGCTCTAAATGTACTTGTTTGTTCTTGGACTAAGTCCACTACAGACTCAGGCCACATCGTTTGCTCAGAATAAGCACATCAGATGATTGGCAATTGTTTCTAATTAGTAAATCCTGCTGGTTTTCTGCGTGCACACACCCCTCCATGTTTGCCATCCCTCGAAGACCCTAATTCCTTAAAACTGTCCCACTTCTGTCATGTTTTAAAAGATGTAGTAGGGTGCAACAGATTACTCCAATGTGCATTCCCATATTGGCCCCACTGAAAGAAAGTGCAGCACACCTAATTCTGGCACATGTTGTGCTACGCGCTGCATCTGGATTATCAATATTAAGCTATCCACGTTATTCGGAGTGCCTATTCTTCTGCCTGGATCTGCTTGGTTTATATTCCACATGCACCAAACTTAGAAACAAAGTCATAAAAGCCATTTTGTCTAGCACGGCCAAACTCTGCTCAGTGCAAGAATCCAAATTCAAGCATCCCCAACAGGCGTCTATCTAGTTTGAACACATCCAGCAACAAAGATCTCTCTCTTTCAAAACCACCAGAAAAGTAGAGCCCTTCCTGTTGCTAATACCCCAGGCCAGCTCTAAACATTTTGGCACCGCGGGCAAAGTCATATTCTGGCACTCCCATGGTTTGGCTCATCTGATTTTGTTAGGAAGTTCAAAAAGGCGCCTTCTTGTTTCTTTTTTTCTTCAAGATTTTGAGCTTTACACTTTTCAGCCCTGGACATTTTTTTTTCTTTTTCTCAGACGTTTTCACCCTATTTACATTGCAAAATTCTATTTAACCCTTAAGTGGGTGCACTGGCTTACAGAATGCACTGTTACTGCTTTCTGCTTTTTTATTGTGTTTTTCTTAAGTCTTTTCAATTTTCCCCTAACATTTGATGCCCCTAGCCACCCCTTGGCACCAAAGACTAAATCTGTTCAATCTTTCCCCTAAAATTTGGTGCCCCTAGGCCAGTGCCTACTCAGCCTTAGCCTAGAGCTGGCCCTGCTAATGCCTTAAAATATTGATACTGTTCTCATTGTCAGTGAGTCTGCACCTCTGGCAGATAAACATACACCCGTATCTGCTAGAGTACTGTTATTCTAGATAACGTGTATGGGGAGCGTCCTTCTTCCAACATGATGCTCTCCAAATGTGTTACCATGCAACTCAGGGCTGGTATGTCATATGTTCTCTGAGTTTGGATCTGGGCTGCAAATATTTCATGATCACAGTAAATAACATATCTCCTGCCTTGATGTTACCTAGTGTGGTCATGAAATCTTTGCAACCCCAAAACTTAGCTCAAAGAACTCTGAGCTAACAACACAGCTCCCATCATTCCCAAGGCTCAGGGTTATGGGCATTGAAAGCCCAAAGAATGAGTGTACCAGGGTAGGGAAGAGCCTGAGTACAGGTAGTCCTCGTTTAGCAACAATTGGGACCTGCAACTCTGTCATTCAGCAAAGTGGTCACTAAGTGAAACCGTGAATGTGCTTATGATCTTATTTCAGCTTTCCTTTGCTTTACAGACCTGCGAAGGTCATAAATGCGAGGATTGGTCACATTTTTCATCACTATCATAACTGTAAACAGTTGCTAAACGAGGACTACCTGTATTGAATAAATAAAGCCCTGGCAGATATTTCCCATTCCCATTTCAAAGAAATCATAGAGAACTGAGCCAAACCTTATCTAGAGTCCCCCACTCTCACTCCACTTCTAATGCTATAACATAACATAACTCTGGAGAGGCTGCTCTTCACTCCTCCTCCTTCAACATATATTGATAATGGTTTCATTTCTAGCACTGCTAATAGCAAGTTAATGGAAACGTCTACAAGGATTGGAAATTTCCCTTTTTATCACCCTTCCCAGTTTGAGCACTCAGCCACAGCAAATGGCTGATGCAGAATGAACAGCAGGTTAAGTATGAAGTCTGGCTCTGTAATTTCATCCAGCACTTTAGCACCACCCCAAGTGATTCCCCAAGAGGTGGCTTAACCACTAGGCCATTGTGGAAATTGGATGGGGGTTTCAAGCCAGACCTGGGGGTTATCCTAGTTAATATGTAGATTGACTTAATAAAGTCTAACTTGCTCTTTGTTTAACTGCCCATATTGATACACTGGAGAGTGCAACATCAAAATAAGAGGATATATCGTGTATATCACCGAACGTTGTTTCTTCTGGGGAACAGCTGCAGCAGGCACGGAAGCTGGAAACCCAACTATTATTCTCCTAAATTCCTGGAAGGAAGCCCGCCTGCAAGGGAAAGAATTGAGGCAGGAAAACAACATCCAATGAAGCCGGGGTTGGGTTGGGGTGGGTTGGGGTGGGGTGGGAGATTTGCTCCGGCACCTTGGGCACCCACCGCCTGCACCTCTGCCCCGATTCAGTACAACACAGCTAGACTGCATCATGGATCAGACCGTCAGAATCCAACCGAAAGGGTCCCGACCGGCTTCACGTGCATTCCCGGCCGTTCCCAGCACGGGGGACGGGGGGGTTGAGCCAAATCCATCCGACCACCCCTAGCCTCGCGCTCTTGCGCCGGGCCCGGGGGAGCGCTCTGCCAGAGCCCCTCCCGCGCCTTCTCGGCTGGGCAGCCCAATGAAAAGGAGGCGCCCCCCTCGCCGGTTCCAAAAAAAGAGAAGGAGGGAGGTTAAAAAGGGA